TCCTCATGAGCACAATCAAGTGCCCTGGGATTCCCATTCTTCTCAAAGCAAGCCACAACTTGTCATCATCCACATAGTGAAATGGCTTTGCATAGTCAATAAAGCATAAATAAGACATGCTTCTGGTATTCCTTACTTTCAGCCAGGATCCATCTGACATCAGCAATGATGTCCTTGGTGCCACGGCCTCTTCTAAATCCTGCTTGAACTTCTGGCAATTTCCTATCTATGTTCTGTTACAGCCATTTTTGAATGATCTTTGGCAGCATTTTGCTAGCATTTGATATCAATGATACTGTTCGATAATGTCCACAGTCATATTACCCTTCTTGGGATTAGGAACAAATATAGACCTCTTCAAATCTATTGGCCAGATGGGTATCCTCCAAATTTCCTAGCACAGATTAGTGAGTGCATTCAAGGCTGCATCTGTTAATTGAAACATGTCAATTGGTATCCCCTCAACTTTTGGGGCCTTATTTTTTGCCAGTGTTTTCAAGGCAGCTTCTTCTTTAATTACCATTAGCTCCTGTTCATATGGTACTTTCTGAAATTTTTCAGTGTCAATTCTTTCTGGTACAGTGACTCTTTGTATTCTCTCCCTCTCTCTCTCTCTCTCTCTCTTTTTTTAACTTTCTAGGTCATTTAATACAATGCTCATAGCATCTTTTAACATTGTGACACGAGGCCTAACTCTATTTTTCAGTTCCTTCATTTTCAGAAATTCAGAGTGAGCTCTTCTCTTTTTATTCTCCAATTCTAGTTCTCTACATATTCCATTATAATATTTTGTTTTGTCCTCCCAAGCTGCTCTTTGAAATCATCTGTTCAGCTCTATTATTTGACATGTTTTCTTTTAGATTTGGCTTCGTGACATTCCAGTGTAATCTTTAGAGTCTTTTCTGACATTATTTTGGTTTTTTCTTTCTCCTCTGTTTTTGTAATGACCTTTTGTTTTCTTCATGGATGATATCCTTGATATCATTCCACAACTAATCTGGTTTTCTATCATTGGTGTTCAATGCCTCAAACCTATTCTTGATATGATCATGAAATTCCAACGGAATTGGTCCAAGATCATAGCTTGATTCCTGTGGACTTATTTTCTTTGGCTCAATGTGAACATGCATAAGATCAATTGATGATCTGACCCACAGTCAGCCCTTGGCCTAGTTTTGACTGCTGATATTGAGCTTCTCCAAAGATTTCTTCCACAAATGTAGTCAATCTCATTCCTACACAGCCCATTGAAGGAAATCCATGTATAAAGTTGTCTTTTGTGTCTTTTAGTAAAAGTATTCATAAGGAATAAATCATTGTAATGCAAAATTAAATCTTCTATATAAGCCTCATTTCTATTGTCAAGCTTATATTTTCTGACTGCTGTTTCTTCTTCATTGTTTCCTACTTCTGCATTCCAGTCACCAATTGTCATTAACACATTCTGACTGAATATTTGGTAAAAATTCTCAATTTCTTCCTCTTTAGCACCAGATGTAGGAGTATATACTTGAATAACAAGACATTATCTGTATGTGTAAGGATACTACCCTATCACTCACAACATTGTATTTCTGGATAAAATTTGAAATTGACTTTTTGACTATGAATGCTACACTGTTCTTCTGTTTTTCATTCCCTGCATAGCATCAATAATCATATGATACATGAATCATCTACACTTTACATATGAATATTTTATACACAAATTAAAACAAAATATTTTTATAAAAATATGCTATTATATATTAAAAAGACAGTAGCACAAAATACTTTATGAAAAACTACCTGAAGCTACAAATGTTTATACTACTGATAAGCAGATTAGATTATGCCTTAAGCACTTTTCCTTTTACATTGTTGTTGTTGTTGTTGACTGCCTTTGAGTGGAGCATGACTCATAGTGACCCTATGAACAAAATGCCTAAAGCCTCTCTATAATGATCAAAGTTCATAGTTTCTAGAGGCATGTTGTTTAGGAAGTGGATGCCACTCCTGCTTCTAATTTCCTTGTATACAGGTATGTATTTATTTGAATACTTAAATCTCACCTATCCGCACTACTCAAAATGGGACACAAGTATTTGTTTATTCATTTGTTTATTTCTTTATACCTCATCTTAGTTCAACAACAAAAGATTAGTGCATGTTCCATATAATGCTTGTGACATACTAAGATAACAGCACATGAGAAAGGAGTAAATACAATAATTATAAACAAATTTGATCATCATAATAATCATTGCATAAAAGAAGATAATCGACTATTTTTCTCCAGCCACTATAGAAAATAAAATAAAACAACTTGATTCATGATCTAGTACAAAGAGTTAATATGGGATTTAAGAACCAGCTTTCTGTTGATGTTTTGAAATAGCCCATTTTCTTCATTAAAATATAAGAACTGATAGTGTGGCTGTTTTTAGTATCCTCAGCTGCTAACTAAAAAGCTGGCAGTTCAAACCTACATTGCTCCATGGAGAAAGACATGGCAGTCAACTTCTGAAAGTATTTACAGCTTTGGAAGCCAGAATAGAGTAATTCCCCTCTGTCCTTAGGTGATCTCTATGAATCACATTCCACTCTATGGCAGAGTTGACAGCAAGAAAATAGACTCTCATCCTTCTCTTTTCTTTGATGTTTGACCTTACGTAGGATATAATTTGATGAACTATCAAGGGCCCTCCCTTTTAGACCAATAATAATTTAATTCTACAAGGGATATTGCCTCTCTCATCCATTAAAAAGACAGTTTGGTAATGAGAAGGTAAGGAAATGGGATTAAAAATTGTGGTCTGGGTTTCAGTATTCGAGATACTGGTTTGGTGGAGAAGTCCTGCTTAGATTTTAATTACTTTAGTGATTAGAAAATTAAAAGAGCTTAAAGCAGGTATGAGTAGCACCACAAAAACATTTTACAATTTTTTCCTCACCAGTAAAGGAATAAATAAACAAAAATTACAGAGTGAAATTACCACAGTTAGAAATTATACTAAAAGCATCCAGTTATTCCTTCTAATTTATTCACCTTCTTTTTCTAATTTGTCCTTATTCACATTTGATATAACACCTAAAACCAAAGGTTAAGTTGCTAAACAATTATCAGAAACCAAATTGTTCCACAGGGGAGAATATATATATTTACCTGATTTGTTAGACACCCAAATAATTGCTTCTGAAGATACATGGCTTCTATTTCCTACCACAATGGTTAATGGAATCTGCCACAGGTAACTACAAAACAAAAGAGAAGCTTTAAGAAAAAAAAAGTTATTTTATGTTTTTGGTTGGTCTGTTTTGTGTTTTAAAAAAACCCCAGGAAACCAAATCCATGCATTCTTTGTGTGTGATTTTTTATTACTCTTTTTTTAGTTGAACAAAGGAAGAAATAGTATAGTCATAAAAGTAAAATAGTAATTCAAGAAGATAAATTTACTCTTTCAATATCACTAAGAAAACTTGGTCTGTAAGAGTTTATTTTCAATATAGAAAAGACTGCCTAATAAAGAATTTATCACACCATCAAATGGAATTATATTTAACATTGCTGGTTTTGTGTACCACTGGTTTGGAACAAACTCATAGCTGACCCACCACAGGCTTTCAGAGGCAGAAAATGACACGAGAGGAGACTGCTCATCTTTCTCCTTTAGAGCAGCTATGTAGATGCCGGAAGTCCTGGCTAGGTTTAGAAGGGGTTGTGGTACTAGGGATATTGCTGCTGATGTTAGATGGGTCTTGGCTGAAAGCAGAGAATACCAGAAGAATGTCTATCTGTGTTTCATTGATTATGCAAAGGCATTTGACTGTGTGGATCATAACAAACTGTAGCTGACTCTGAGAAGAATGGGAATCCCAGAACATTTAATTGTGCTA